CCCTCAAGCCTAAGCTCAGGGGTTATCAGAGCCACGTCTGAGGTCAAGATTGACCCTGGTCATTGGGAGAGGAAAAATGGACAATCCAAAAAGTAGCTGCCTGAGCACAGTGAAGTTTACAGTAATATGAAAAACCTGATTTGCAATATGATCCTTCCAAATAGTACCTTTAAATGTGACTTACAGGTATTAATTTCATACATAATTGCTAAAGACTCCTTCTCTGACCCCGCACAAGTACTGGTGATGAGAGCAGATATGGGCTGTGCTCACCTTGCCCTAGGGCTGCATCCACGTTGGGGATTGCCCATGGACACAATTTGTCTCAGCTTCCAGGACCCACAGTCTAGTCCAAGGGTGTCTAAACTTTAATGTACGTGAGAGTCAGGAGAGCTAGTTTAAAAATCAGGTTCCTGGGTCCTACCTGCAGTTTTGATTTGGCATTTTCCGGGTGTTGTAGGTGGGGTCCGGGTGGCTCTGACACTTCTGGTCCACAGACCACAACTGAGGGAGTTCCGGTCTGGCTGTTGCTCTGTTTCCCTTGTCCTTGTCCCCATGAACGGGAGCACAGAGTTGTGTGGCCTGACTCCATGGCAATTACCCTTAGCAGCGCTAAGCCCTCGCCTTATGCTGTTCTTCTCCATGGTCCTGTAAATTAGGTACCATTATTATCCACTTCTTACAAGGGAGGGGAAAGCCTTCACTGCCAGCAAGTGACTGAGCTGGGGTCTGAACACAGAATAAGCAGGTCAGCAGAGCCCAAATGTGAAACCATGAGAGCAGCTGTAGCTCCCGTCCATCCACTCCTCCTCTCTCGTCCCCGGTGGGTGTCTTTCTTCAGTTTACATTCCTGCCTTTTCCACCCCATTCCCAGACTCCCGTATAACTTCTCCAGAAGATGATGTGCCCCTGCACTTTCCTATTTTTATCTCATTCAATGAGTCAAAGAAGGTTGGGGCAATGGGCTTACAGAGGGAGGTGTTACATGTTGAATTGTTTCCACCCAGATCCATATGTGAAAACCAATCCCAGCCCCCAACACCTAAGAATGTGACCTTATGTGGAGATAGGGTCTTTACAGAAATAAGTTAAAATGAAGTCATTAGGGTGGGCTCTTGTCCACTATAACTGGTGTCCTTATAAAAAGAGGGGAATTTGCACACAGACAGACATGCGTAGAGAAATGATAAAGTGAAGAGACAGGAAGAAGACAGCCACTTAAAGCCAAAACAGAGAGCACCAGCATTGATCCTTCCCCTGCCCCAGTGTCAGAAGGAACCTGCCAGTGCCTTGACCTTGGACTTCCACCTTCCAGAACTATGAGACCATACACTGCTGTTGTTTCAGATGCCCAGCATGTGGGCTTGCCGAGGCAGCCCTAGGGAAGCCAGTTTCCTAGATGTCCTCTCTTGGCCCTGACTTTGGGGTAATCTTGTTGAAGGCCAACATGTTATACCAAGTTGTGACAACTTTTATTTTTTTTAAATAACTCTGTGCACCTTTCTTTTGGCTTAAATAGTGTTCTTAGGAGCAACAAGTAGGCCCAAGGCCCAGGAGAAAAGAAAGAATGAATAGAAAGAGTAAAGAAGGAGGAAGGGGAAGTAAAAAGGAAGAGAGGCAGGAGGAAGAGGAGAGAGTGGGGACTGGGCGGGCCATGATGACCAGGTGGGGCTCAGCCAGCTTGCCACGGGGCACCTGCTGGGTGCCAGGGAGTGTGCCAG